TCTTGTGTCGCACATTTTGTAGAATTTTTTTTTTTCTTTCCTCCACATCCAACAGCAAGTAACTTGCCAATTACAGGATGTAATGCTTTATAAACCAAACTGTTTTACTTTTTTATGCTCAGGCGTGGAGCAAGCTGTTTTAGTCATGAGAAGAGAAAACCCTGCTGTGACGTTGACAGGGTTTGAACCAGGACCTTGGGATTTGAGGTCAAGCATCTGAACCACCACGTTATTCAACTCCACTCACAATTTATTTGTTGCGTCATTCAATAGTATTTTGTTTCCTAAAGGCAGCAGGTCATTCTCATCTATCAATGCGTATTTACATTGTAAAAAATGCTGAGTATTAAAATCATATCCTCCCGTGTCTATTCTGAGTAAAAATTTACATAATTTTACATACAGTAACCAATATACTGTACTCAACTCCCTATGTAAGCCTATTATTTTTTTTTTTAGTTGAATTTACTTAGATAATCCATTCCTCATGTTTATGGACATTGATCAGTATTGCATTCTTAGAAATTGTGTGTGTGAGCATCTTGTACAATTAAAAAATAGAATAATAAATGAGCTGTTTTAATGTGCCATAGTACAGTATTAATATATTGTGTTCTGTAAAATTTTGTGTTTGATTTGAGCTAGGTATAAAATTAATGGCATTTAATGCCCTATATGAGATTTATCTTATTTCAGATATCAAAAGGTACATAAACCAGAATATTAATAATCAAAAATAGTATGTAGATTATTAACTACAGATAACTTTTTTAATATAATGATTTATTACTTTTGTCAATAAATGTGTAATATGTATCATTTTAAATTAAAAAAGAGCATTCATGAAATATTTAAACAGAGAAACTCTCTTACAATCTATTATATGAAGGCCAAATAAAAAAAATTACTTGTTTAGCATTTTTTTTTTCTACAGTACTCTCTATCAGTAATCCATAAACGAATCCCTGTTGGATGCTACTTCTACTTTAGCAGTGCCATGCCTGGCACAACTGGGATTGTATAGGCTGCAAAACTCAACACATACCCAACTGAGCATGATCCTATATGTGTACTTTTCAACTTCATAAAACAAAGTAAATCAAAACAAAGAAATAGTTCTGAAAATATAGATATTTTCAATTTCAGTCAAAAAAACAAAAAAAGCTAGTTAGTAAAATTGTTTTACTTCACTTAAAATATATTGATTCTGATTAGCATTTTTCTGAAAGTATTTATCTTCTTCTTCTTTTTTTTAATTTTTTTATTCAGTTGGGGAGATGATGCTATACAGTAGTATATTTTTTTATTTGGCCTAATATAAGACTTGTGTTTTACACCTCCCCTTTTATAACCTTCATTCACCCCTTATGTATGATTATTATTCATACTCTATTTGTCTAGATACTGTATGTTTCTGAATATTTTTGCACCTTCAAAACCTATGGTAAATTGATAATTTTTTTTTTTGTCTTTTCCAAAGTTTCAGCCTTTAAGATTAATGTCCATTACTGCTTCAGTCAGTATCTTTTTTAATACTGTTAATTCATTGGCAAGTATGAATGTATAGTAGGTCTTGGAATGGCTTAACTACCAGAATTCAAAGAAAACTTCCAAAAACCCTATTTAGTTCTTTGATTTATGAGCCAATAACTATCCCAATTTTTTTTTTTTTTGTCATGTAGGTCTACATTAGCGTGTGCTACTGGACATTTACAAAAATCATACATCCGTATAATAATTTTTATATAGTTTTATATTAAACTTTTTTCTGTCTTATCCTGTAATTAATTTTAATGTGGTGAAAGTTAGACCACAATTCAAAGCAACAGACTGTAAATCTCAGTTGAGGAAAGACCTGCACATAAGAGTGATAAATTTCAGGTAATATTTTAGTATGTGTTTGTTACTGGCAAATTAGATAAAGCGGTAAGTGCAGTGTTGAGCATTAAAGCGCATGTTTAAAACATTCTGATGCTGATCCTCACTTGTGCTCTTGGAAAAGACATTTTACATTAATTACTGCTAGGGATGGTAAGTGACATTGGCCTTGTGGGGATAATGGATTAAAAACATTTAGTACCTTAATTTTTTTTTAAATGTTAAAATTTTACAAGTGTATATGGCACATTTTTGTTGGAGCTAAGAAGCACATGGACAGTCTCTGAAAAGGGTTAATATTAATGTCAGGTTTGCTGTTAGTCCAAGCATACTGTATGGGCTCGACCAGAACACAATATGTTTCTACTATTCTTTATTTACCTTAGTCTCTGTACACTGGGCCTAAGGCTTAGGTTTATTTAACCTTATCCAGGAATTTTTTATTCTACACCTCCCCACCCCCGAATCATGAATGAAAAAGGTCATAAATCAGCCCTTTTATTATAAAAAGATCAGGCTACTCAACTCTAGGGTACTAAACAGTTTACTTACTATCAGGTCTGTGTACATAGGTGTTCGTTATGTTTGAGAAACCAAATTTTCCCACTAGATGTACTGATACTCTACAGAATATTACACGTCATTGGCAAACAATGTGCTTCAATATTTAATCAATGTTTTGTTTTATTTAGTTTAGTTTTTTTTTTTTTTTTTTTTGAAGTATTGTATCCATGGTGGCTTTTATTATATGGTACTACAGTAATATATTACTTCCTTGCAGCAGGTCTGCATTTTTTTTTTTTCTTTTGTGACTTTGACTACAAAAATTATCTTAAATTCCTCTAGCGTCAAATGTTGTATATAAACTATATAGCCCAACGAGGGTTGTTTGGAGGAAATTTTGTTTTTAATGCCTCCAGAGAAATGTTTGATGCTTCAAAATTACCTACTGGTCATATGGTCACACAATTTTACCAAACCTGCATGCAATGCCATCCTGTTTCAAACCACATTTTATAGTGATTAATATTTACTTATGGTAAGTCTGGTCAACACAATTTTCTTATTAGGTGTTATTAAGAACCATGTAATTTATTCTGTTGACTTCTGTGTCGCAGTATTAGTTGGTGCCTAAATTCCATACTTAACACAATTCTCTGCAATGCCTCATCATTTTTCATTAGCACTGTCTTCTCTCTCATAAAGCAAAGACAATGTTTCTTTATGTTGCTACTAATCACCATTTCTAATTTTGTTTAATGCTAAAACAGATCCTCTACAATGTGTATTTATAGATCTTGCATCTCGTTGAAATAAGTGTGTTGTTTGTGGTGAGCGTGCTCTTTCTGACCTAAATATCATGTGATCTACAGTAATTGCTATCGTGTTTCCAGAGACATTCGTTTTTGACTCGCGTGTTATTTTTACTTAAGAAAAATACTGCTGTTGACATTTTTCTTCGGCGAGCAAGGCCGCAAGTTTTTGTTTTTGTTTTTTTTGTTTTTTTTTATCGAACTTCTTGAAATGAGGCTACTTGCATCATCTGTAATTAAAAATGGTACATTTAATTTGCGATAGTCCTTTATTCAATTGTGATATTTTAAACAATTTTTAATACTAATTGTAATGTATTTGGGGAAAACCTGAAATAATCACAAATAATTTGATTTTGTTTTTTCTAATTAGTGACTTTTTCTACAGGGCATTTATTTATTACAACATAAGTAAAATACAAACATATGCCCTCCAAGGCTAACCAAAATTAAAACATTGAGGATTCTCCACGGCATCAAATAAAATATAAAACATTGTAATAATGCATTAAAGAAATAGAAAAATACTAATTTCATTTTATTCTTTCAGTAAATGTAATTGAAAGTATTGATTACTATGATCAGCTATGCAATATATATTTCTACATTTTAATTTTCATTTGGACACTACTTCTAATATCTGTCATTCAGTTCTGTATAGTACAGGGTAAACACAGTAGGTAATGTAGTGTAAATGCTATCAGTAAATATTCCCAATGTTGTAATTTTTTTTTTCATACAATAGCGCTTAGTACAATTTAGTATTTGAAAACATTCCACAAACTCATGTTTGTACAAGATACGATTTATTGTCTGATTAAATATGAAAAAATCCTCAAAAATGAAATTATGTTGAAAAGATATTTAAAATATAATAAGTTTACTATAACTTTTAATAACACAAATCAAACACCATAAAGTATTACAATAAATAATTAATTACCAAAGGGTCTATGCAGAAAATATAGAAGGTGTATTATTAATTCGTTATGATGGTAATTTTTCTCAGTGCTATTAACTTAACAAAATTAAGCAATTTATCCAAATATTGTGTTTTTTAGCTAATTTTCCCTAGACACTGCAAAGATGTTTCTGTGTCCTACAGTGAACTTCAATACTGTACTGAACATGTCATTCCATGAGGAGTTGGTTAAGCATCAATCCTGTGTACAGGGCGCCTGTGCATGTTAAACAAGGATAGGGGATTAATTTGTCTCCCTGAGTACTAATACAATTTCACTGCATGTCATGTATGACTGTGTGTATTGTGTGTGGTAGATATTTCAACTCATGGTACAGTACTATGTTTTTAGATACTGAACATTTGCTATTAGCTATTGGTCTATCAGCTTGGTCACACTCCATCAGCAAAATTGAAGCGGTCATTCAACCATTTTACCTGCAATGCACATTTGAACTTTAAACTTTCAAAATCAAAGCTTCTGCTGGGCAATAAATCTTTTTTTTTTTTTTTTTTTTTTGTTTGGTTTTTACTTTGTTTGAAATAATAAAATGTGTGATGAAATTTTTAAATATCCACAAAACCACAGTGGTATAAAAATAAACCAGCCAATACCTAGCTTTGCTTTTGCAACCATGGTAAACCTTTTTGCTGTGCACTTGCATGCTATTTAAACCTATAGTACAGTATTATCAACTGGCAGTAAATTACTATCAGCAACAATACCTTTGTAGATGATTCACTATAATAGTGAACTCAATTGTTTACTTGAGTATGTAATCAAGGATAGAATCTCTTATGCTGTGATTCATACCTGATGCCTTTGTCTCTCTTTTTTCTGACCATAGAAGAAGATTCCGAAGGGGAGATATTTCAGCCCGACTCTTTCCTGGTATCGACGCCAGTCAGTGGCACCTCCTCTTCCTCACGTCATCATGGTAAGCATTCTTTCTTTAAATAGTGTTAGAGGAATTGGTGATGTTATATCTCATATGATAAGATATACATATTGATATGATATACTGTACGATATGTTTGACATGTTGATGTGTGATATGTTTATAGGGTGCTATAGTAAGCATGAATATATTATTTCAATATGTAAATTATTTATTAATTTATATATTTATTCGGTCTTTAGAAAGCAGACTTGGGCTTCATTTTTTCCTATTAGGTCTATTTTACTTTTATTTTGGATTTATTAATGCTCTGTAGCATTTGCAATAGAGAGCTACTGTAAATAGGTCAGTTAAAAAAAACATCAATTATTGTCTGAAACTTACCTGGATGGACTGAGTTAAATTGCTAAGATATTTCCTGTAGAATCATCTCCACTTCAAACAACTACAGTACTCGTTAAAATGATTTCTCCCTTAGAAATTTCTGACCTGATACAGTATGCTACTACTGCGTTTTAGATTGTCAATTACATTTGTGTGATAAAAATGGTTTAGCCATATAAAACCAACTCATCTCCATGTCTTCCAATCAATCAAATATATTCATAATGATAATTAAAAAAAATATATATAAAAGTAATAGAAAGGTTATGTCTATAGCTGTTTCATGCAGTAGCAATCTTCAAGAGTGAGTGGATAGGATGGAGGTATGAGGTTCAGCAGGTGTGTATATGCTAATTGTGTTAATACAAATTCTTAATAGGTAGGAATTTGTTCCTGTGTCAGCATTTTGAAAGCAGCTCTGTTCTTTTGTTGAAAGTTGATGGTTTGTCTGCATAAATAATGTGAAATTTCTCTGTATGGCAGAGATTGCAGGGTTTTGTTTGTGTACTGTATGGCGTAGCTTTGTCAATTATGGACCATTTGATGTTGAATTGGGTGTTGCTTTCTTTAAGTTTCCATACAAGTTTTGATAATTCGGTGCTGTTAGATAACTGAAGATGCAAGGCAGTTTCCTGATAGGGGGCATTCATCTTTCATTCTTAATTTTGTTTTTTTATTTCAACCATCTTTAAAGAGGGTAACCCTTCTAGTTTAGCCCAGTAGGTTAACTGATATTCAGGGGCCCTCTTTAATAAAAAAAACAGTACAAACAACATCATTACAACATAATAATAATAATAATAATAATAATAATAATAAACTTTCAGCAGTTGCATGTACTGTATTAGATTGTGGTTTGGTGCGAAGAATTCTGCTGTTGTTGGACTGAATGATGTTTCCCATGTTTCTGGAACAGGTATAGGTAACTTTGACATTTGTTGAATCATAGCTTGTGAAGTGTACTGCCTGTACAGGAAAGTGTTTTTTAACCAAGTTCAGGAAGGATCTGCTGATAATGATATAAAAGTATGTTTTTTTTTTTTTTTTTGTTAATGAGCATATACAATGATATAGGTAATCATAATGAAATAATTATGTAGTACTACTAGAGAAACTGTAACATTTTTTATTATGTGATTTTACGATGGATTTTACCAGTTAAAAAATCATTTGCACCGCTGCACTAAGATTGTGCAAAGTGGTATGGGGAGTTGAAATGGCCGAGCGGTTAAGGCTGGGGCGCCGCAAAGTACAGCCATAATATTGGCGCTGGTTCGGACGGCACACCCGCATGGCTCTGGCGGTCAAACAGGTCTTCTCAGAAGACTGCTCATGTGCACTTTAAAGAACCCAATATATACAGCCCCTCTTGGGGACAGACGAGAGCAGCTGGACCAGTTTGCCTGGGAGCTCAGACATGAGCTCCTTAGGGTAGTTAGCAAGATTACGCAAAAACTAATGAATGGAACATCATAAAATTTAGTGAAATGGTACATAATATTCAAAGAAAAAGGTCAAAGGACAAGGTCAAGAAAATTTAATATTTTACCCTGAATATAAAAGATAAATGAATGGTCCTATACATGGCCTATGTATTGTTCGGTATTCATGCACATTGCCGAAAATAAAGGAATCATAACGTCTTTGGAATCACGCATTTCGTTTCTAAATAAAAAAATATTTGACAATGTATGAAAATTTTGATTTACTGATAAATACATAAGTAAAGATATAATTTTTTTTATTATCGACTTTGATTTAACTAATTTTTCATGTGTTAGCCTTGTACCATGCACAAATTGAGCTTAATTGTCAATTTTATTTGTTTGGTAACCATGGTTATTATCAACATTTAGTTAATTAGTTGAATTAGCTACTGAGAGATATCACAATGCAACACTCACTGGGAGAACTCATTTCATATACATTTAAAGCTTTGCTTGTCTCTCAACCTTGATCCGTCTTCTGCAAACAAAGTCTCCATCCAATACTGCTCTCCTTAAAACACATTGATCTATTTATTTGTTGAATTTTTTATTATCTTGAATTTTTGGCTGTTGCAACTGTATAACTATAGGAGAATTCCACAGTAACTGACATTACATTTCATCCTTTATATTCACATTGTTACTCACTTTCAGTGTTAGCGCCAGAGGGGAGCTGGGGGGGCTATAGCCTCCACTCGAGGAAGCCTAGGGGCCCCCCCCCCCAAGGGCCATAAAAGATGAATAAATTCCGTCTGGGAATAAAAAAAATTTTAAAAAGATTTTTTCATATCTGTTCGTTTAGCTATATATAACTATATCGCCTTCATTGTCCTATTTGAGTACCGTTTTTGTTAACTTTTCATCTCAATAACAAAAACAACAACAATAATAATAATAATAATAATAATGATATAATAACATAAATTCACGTGCCCTTTTATTGTAAGTTAACCGACTACTATATATATTACTTTTCACATTGAATTAAGCCCATAAAAACAACATAATATATTAATTCTTCTTCACAATAAATACATTTATTGGAACGTATTAGTCAGCTGAACAGTGTCAAGTGTCAAAACAGTGTTTACAGCCCATGAATTTCACGTTGGCAATTGGCAATTGCCGACCATATTGCCGAGGCAGAATTGCTACAGACGGCAATTTTTTGCCGACCTAGGCCTAGATTTCTTTGCTTTACACACTGCTTGGAAAGTCAAAAACTTTGATTGATACAGGCTATCAGACACTAAATTTCATGTACGTCATCAAACCAAGGAAATTGGTGGTTCATAAAACAGATTTGTTTGTACAAAACTATTTCTAATAGGCATGCAGTACGTAAGATTTGTATAAAATCGTCTTGTCTTTCTCACCTAGTCGTTTCGTAGGCTAGGCCTAGGTAGGAATGACGCTAGCCAGCCCAACATCGCCCAATTGAAGCCACTTGGGCCACGTAGATCGTAATTCTTTATCTAAATCTATTATTTGTTTTCATTTTACAGTATTATTATCATATTTAAAATGTTGTTTATTATCTATTAGAAGAACAACAAAATTCAACATTTTTGTAGGCCTAGGCCTAATCCTACCGTCTGTTTAAACGCAATCACGATCGCATCATGACTTCACTACTGACAAGTACTGTACATGTGTGGAAAACCCCTGATAGATCATTCTGGGCATGCGCATGGACATGCATGGACAGTTTTGAAGCAGCCTGTGATGATTGATACGATCGTAGCTTTTACGAAAGTGATGTTTCCCATGCCAAAGATAACGATAAAACGAACGCTAAAGCAATTTTCTTATGTAAAACATATGTATTTATACTACACTATTAAATTAATACAAGTACGACCATTCTTTTACCAGTAATATATTGATTTAATAGGAAAATTAACAAAATCACAATCTGTAGATGACGATGTAAGGTCGAGCATTCGGAAAAATCGTAGTTTACTATATAGGCCTTGGTAGTAAAAAATTGCCGAGGCTGCCGACCTCTGAGAATTTAAGGTCGGCAAATTTTTGCCGACCTAATTTTTTCCAAATTTCATGGGCTGGATTATTTCGATATTTTATAAATGTCAGTGCATATTAATGTTATGTATTGAAATTAAAAAAATACAAAATGTTCTCCCCCAGTTTGAAAAATTCTGGATCTGCCCCTGTTTAAAGGGACTATATAAAAATGGTTTACGTTCTACTATGACAAATGCTCGTTTGGATATCCTCATGATGCTTAGAATACTTCTGATCGGGGAGCAACCTCGTGGTTTACAGATTTCAGACAAAATTGCAAGCTTGTACTGTGACGTTCCCGGTGACACTGTGTTTTATTAATTCATGGTAGTATAATATTGTCGAAACTTGGTGGCCTTTAACAATTAACAGTAAGACATTATTCACAATCACATGGATTATGAAAAACCTAGATTTCGCCATGATGGGAGAATAGTATTGCAATGTAATACGGTGGTTTTTTTTTTAATAATATAAAATGTAAAACGGATTTGAAAATAAGTTAGTTGGTTACATTGCATACTCTTTGTTTCTTGTTGTTTTAATAAAAAAAATTCTGTTTTGGAATTTCATACATGAAGTCATTACGGTAGTTAGATGCCTATCAAATAACTAATAAAAATTTACCAAAATTCGTCTAATTTCCGTAGCTTCCCCTGAACCCCCTGTGGCCCCTAAGTGGTTGTCCCCCAGCCAAGTGAGGCGTGCTTCGCTCGCCTAGCCCCCCCCCCCATTGGGGCTTTTAGTCCCCCTCTGTTTTAGTCCCCCTGTCCGGCAGATCCTGGCGCCATTACTGCCCACTTTATATTAAAAGTAGGAAAGACCTAATTATTTCTTATAGCTAGATGGTAGTACTAAGGGAGTGAAATACAGGAATACCAATTTAAACTTTTTACCATTTTTTTAGTGAAGGAAAAACTAGGAATTAAAACAAATTCCGATGTCTTATGTCCGAGAGACAGAAAAAACTTGAGTTGTATGCCATGAAATACTGCATTAGTATACTAGAAGTACATGGTTAATGATTAAAAATTTATAAATTTTTCATAAGATATTAACCTTTTTATAATGACCGGTTGGTAACTGACGTTACGCTTGTTTGTAATGTTAGATTATATTGTAAACAATTCTAAATTTATAAAGGGACACAATTTTGATGTTTTTGTGAGAAAATTATAATGTTGATTATGAATTCTATGCTTAATTTGAGTCAGGAAGCTTAAATAGTACAAAATAAAATATCACATAATTTGTCATACTAAAAAATAACAATTTAAAAGATATAAACATATTATCGAATGTATAGACTAATGACAAAGCCAATGAGTGGGTTGTACAATAAATCTCTACAAAGCAGAACAATAAAGAATTACTTTAATAGTTTTGATAAATTATATAGAGCTTATTGATGGACGCTTCATAAATGTCACCAGTTGGTAAATTATTGTATAAATTATAGGTTTATAACACTACGGTAACTGATGTTACATACCGTACATTTTAATAGATTACGTATTAGGAATTTCTTTACTGTGGAAAGAATAATATTTGGGTATTTGAGGCATAGTTAGAAGAGAAGAATTATTAAATACCATCAGCCCATCATGGTATGGTAAGATATTACTTTGAAAAATAAACTTACTGGTAACTGACGTTACATCTGATGATAAGAATTTCAATTTTTAAACTTCAACATTTTAAAAAAAGGAGCTAAATTTATAGCTATTGATCAGCAGAGTATGTCCCAACTGATAGCTCAATACCATAAACCTAAAATCCAGATTGGTAAAGTTAAAATTAAGTTGATATAATTGTTATAAGTAGTGTTAACATATAATATACTATAGGCAATATAACACTACGGTACTGGCGTTAGGCACTTTCAATATCAAATTTCAGGACTTTATTTTACTTTATTTGCAAAGAATAGGCATAAGCTATTTGAGGCATAGGTGGGAGAGATCAATTATTGAATAATTTCAGTCTATTATTGTATGATAAAAAATTATTACTAAGAAAAGTAGATGTTTTTGGTAACTGACATTATATTGGAGGATGAATTACAATAATGCAATTTTCTACATTAGAAAATAGGAGGAGCTAAATGCAGATATGTATGTCAGTAGACTATGTCCCAACTAATAATTGAAAACCATAATTAAACCCAAGTGTGTAAATTTGAAAAAAGTGAAAGATGTATAGTATATAAAGTCTGTATAAATTATGCAAATTTTTTCAGCCATTTTGAAAAACTAAATGGCCGCCTACAGTACTTTCAAGCACAATATATTTTCAGAAACTTCAACTCATGTACTATATAGTCATATATATATTTTCTGTTCATGTCCTGTTTTATGGAATTACCCTGTAGATGAATGTACATGCAATTCTACTTGTGTATAGCTGATAAATGGCCCATTGATGGCTTTTGGGACAAATGAATGAATTACTGTAAATGATTAAAATGTGAAAGGTTATATTTATAATTTCAAAATTAATATAATAATTTATTTTAACTTCCAATTTGTTAATACAGTAGGCTCCCATAGAGAACCTGAAACTCATTGAAATTTTTGTATTCATAATAAAAAAAAATAATTATGATTTGGATGTTTTAGTAATCAGGCACCATTTGTAAGAACATGCGGTGTTCCCATCAAATCTGGTCTTTTTTATTACATACCATAATCAATGTAAACAACAAATAATCAAATTTAGGCAGCATTGAATTTAAAAGCAAATACAACACTTTCGGGTCCAAAAAAGTGTCCCCTGAATTATTGTACCCCTATTTTGGGTCACTAAACTAAAAATATGAAGTTGTCCCCTAAGTAGGGGTTTTTCAATTGGCATGCATTCATACAATGATGACACACATAGATTCTTCATAATTTTAATTTAATTGACCTAAGGACGAGTTACAATAGAATTAATCCATGATAAACAAATTTGTAAGTTCAAAAATAATGATTATTTTGAATCTAATTGCATTTGTTGTGATAGGACAAAAACAAATACTAGTCACCTTTTAGAACATACAGTGTGTTAGTTCATTTTTCACATTCTGAAGGTCCCCACCCCTTTAGGTGTTGGCCATTGGTAAAATTTCTACGTTTTTCTGTTTGAAGTGCGCCATTTTTTTTCCATGCCGAAAAGTCCAAAAATCTTCATGTCGGCGATTTTTTTTCGTCGGCATTGGGCAGCTAGATGCCGGCGTTTACGTTGGCATTGCCGAATGCCAGCATTAATCTTGAGGGCTGGGAGATGGAGTGTTGTCTTCTGGTGTACTTGCCAAATTTACAACCTGAATAACCCCACCACTGAAAATAGTCTTCTGACTTTGGTGTGCAGTAGTATGTATTTTAATATGTTGCATTGTCAAATCTAATAGTTATATCATCTATTTATAAATATTAATTCAGGCTGAAAATCCTAAATTTATTATTCAAGGAGGTAACCATAGAGATGTAAAAATGTAGCCAACATAAGCTTCAATAATTAAAGATACTTTAATATACTGTCTGTACACTACTAAGTTACAGTATACAGTAAACTTCAACAACAGCTGATCAATATTCATTTTATTTTAATTAAAAATAATAAATTTTTAAAATAGGTTGAATGAAAATGCCATGCCATGTCATAAAAAAAACATGAAATTCCTGTATACAGTATTAATTAAAAAAATGATAAAAAATGTCATACTGTATACAGGACGCAGCACAGATACAACACTCGACAAAATGTATCACCTACTTTCATCATTTTAACAGCAACAGCATCACACATCACATACCTCGTCAACATCATTGTCCATTTTTTGCAGCCTTTTCTCCCCAGGGAAGTGTCAATATCATAAATTATCCCTCCTCTCAGTTAACTATTAAAAAAAATGTAATTTTGTTTTATTGTTCCTACACATCAATCACATGAATGTCATCAAACAGTACTGTAAGTGTTATATGAGATTGTAAGTTACTGTAGCTTTCAATCGAAAATTAGAACTAGAAATATTTTTCACTCCAAAACAGATGCATATAATTCATGGATAAAATACTAAGTGTATTCCTAGATTTTTTTGCACAAGGTCATGGTGTGGTTGGCTGGTAATTTTTTTAGACTAAATCAGTGAACAATTTATCTTATTGTAAGTTGATTTTTATCCCTTAAAATAAGCAAATTCATATTTCATTAAAATATTTTGAGACCATTGTATGATTGATGGGAGCCATTTAAATTGGTTTAAGCATCCAGATTGACTGACTTGCATTGGCTTCCCATAAGGTTCAAACTTAATTTTTAAAATTTTTCTTATAACTTTCTAGATTGTTAATGTTTTGCTCCTGAATATAAGTCAACCGCCTAAGTCCCATTATAGTCTTCGTAGATGTAAGAACAACACAATCAGCTGCGCTAATCTAGTTTTTGCACTTTAGGCGACCATGCTTTTGAATATGCTGCCCCCGGAAACTATGGAATGCTCTACGGAACAGATATCTTGGTACCAAATTAAAGAGAAATGATCTATTGATGAATTGAGATAGATTACTGTACATCATATGATTTATTTTGGTCTTTGAATTTAGGTTCCTTGGTTGAGTAGATAGCTAGAATTAGAGAAATGTTCTGAAATTCAAATTTTTAATAAAAACATACTTTAGAGAAAAAAAATGCCTCTAAATTAAAATAAGTTTTATTTCTTATTAATTTTAGAAAACCTTTCCAAAAAAAAAATACAGTATGCCTTTCAAACACTTTAACGGTACTCATCATTTAAAACTAACCAAAATGTTTGTATGAAATTATATATTAAATTTATGGGATTAAATATTTCAAACATCATATATTAGTCTATAATTTTTAATTTTACTTTTCTCTCTTTGTATTTATTTTAATTTGATAACTTTGTAGGTTTTTTTTGTAAAATTGGCATTGTGAAAAATACCATTATGGTGATACAAATTTTGGTTCTTTCCATTTAAAATAAAGTTGTAATAAGATCCTAAAACATTAATTATATGCCACTGATCATTCCCTACTACCCGCTACATTCCATTTTATGTAACAATATTATTTTCACAGTGAATAAATTGAAACATGAATCGCTATATAGTACGAATGTCTTTTCCTATTGCCTCCAGGAGTTCTTCAAAGTATTTTTTATCCATTTGTATACTTCGTTATTTCTATTTTGTTTATTAGCTCTTATTGTAGGCCTATATTTAGCTTATTTACTTGGAAATGTGACATGCTACTGTATGTATAACGCTGATAAAAGTGTTTTATACAGTAACCATGACATTTGTTCGTGTTGTTAGCAAATCCATTTGGAAAATGTGACATCTATAGGTCATTTTATAAAGCTGATAAACATTGAAAACATGTATTTTATAACCATGATTTATCTTTTTTATAATCTTGTTTATCAGATTACAGAAAACCTGAGAAAGTGCATATGGTGACGAACTTTACTTCCATTGAAAAATCTGGTCATGCGCCAACAGCAATTACGTTTGTCACAATGGAGGATGGTGAACAGTACTGCGAGTTCCAGTTTCAGCATGAGCACTCTGCCAATGCCAAGCAAAGGAGAGACCAGAAGCCGCAGAAACCTGACATGTATTCTCCTTGCCCAGGAAAGATTAAAAATCAACTACACGAGAATTTGTTCTACACAGTTGCATCATTCATCATCTTCGTCAGCGCAGCAACATTTCTGTTGCTTCCGACCTGTGTAATCTTAGTGGTGTTCGTTCCCATTGCCTATATACTTAGGAGAATCGCTAAATGTTTTGCGAGTATTTGCAACTTCTACTCCCCTTGTTGCTGCTATACGGCAAATTGGCTGACAAATGATGAGAAAGTTTGGCTTGATGATCCACATTTAGAAAAACCTGTGGTCCAAGCGTTACTTGAAGTTGAAGGGCGTATGGAAGCTTCACGACTCAAGTCTCTACTCTTATCACGTGTCGTTTCAAAGGAAAATAAACAAGGGAAAAAAAATTTCTTACGTTTCACACAAAAAATGGTTCGTCTCAGTTCTGGCTGTGTTTGGGTAAATGATCTGAATTTTAATATTGATAATCATGTTTTAGGGGCACCGCGAACTTTCAATAATATTCAAGATTTGCAGGAATTTATTTCACAGTTGTCTACAAAGCAGTTATTGTTCGGGAAACCGCTTTGGGAAGTATGTGTGTTTTATGTAGATACTAGAGAAACCCTGAAAACATATCTTTTATTTCGATTTCATCCCTGTATGACGGATGGTATCAGTCTTGTTGAAATTTTACGTAAGTATTTAGCTGACGAACACGCAACTTCAGAATTAAAATCAAGGTATGGCCGAGAGGCACTCATGTTTAATGGCGTTCAAGCTGTTTGTGTTGGTCTTATTGTATTTTTATCTCATTTGCTTGGGAAGCGGGATATATCCATGCCATGCATAAAACCAATGAATGGTGAAAAGAAAGTGCTATGGTCAGATCCAATTAGCCTTGCGTCTGTAAAACGGATAAAACTGATAACAAGGACGTCTATCAATGATGTATTGTTGTCTGCGATATCCGGCAGTCTTCGCAGCTACTTCAGATCTCAAGGTATTCATAACCCATGTAATCTTCACGCTAACATTCCAGTGGATTATCGCAGTTCTTCAGAACTTCTTGAACTTGGTAACATGTACACATTCGCACGGGCACCATTAACAACAAATATAGAGGGTGCTATACCTCGTCTTTGGGAATTAAAACACCAAATGCTGGAGGTAAAAAACTCAGGTGACCCTATGATTATATACAATGTGATGAAAGTCATTAGGCTTATATTCCCAGAGGTTGTCTCTCGGGGTGTTCTAGCTAGCCTTTACAACCGTAGTTTCTGTACAGTATCAAATTTACCAGGACCCGAAACAAAGATAAGTCTAGGTGGACATAAGGTGCAGTCAGTTCTCTACTGGATGCCTACAAGAGAACAAGTTGTGATGAGTTTCTCAGCAATAACTTATGGAGATGAATTACGAGTCGGCTTGCTTGTGGATGAAGCTGCCGTTACAGACCCACACATTATCCTCCATGAGTTAAACCAACAGGTTAGTAGATAGTGTTAATTCTTAAAGTAGCCATATTATTCTATGCCATAATTACCAAATACAGGAAAATCGCTTAAAGACTACTGACATTTTTTATTTCACAAGCTTTACACTTAGTATTATTGTGGCTTTACTTTTGACATAAAAAGCCAACTAATAATTTATTACTTTTGCTCTATGTTTGATTTATCCAATTTGCTCTACTGTATGTTTGATGTACTTTATATAAAAAGTAATAATGACATAGTTATTGGTCATGCATTCTAGCACTGATGCAACCCTTTTTTGTTTAAAAGCCATCAAGGATGGCATTTACAAGAATTAATAAAATGAATTCTTGTGCTTATTTTTCAATCCAAGGGACCTATATTTTTCTCATTGAAATTTCTGTTAAATGCCATTGCCTATTAAAGCAATTTGAATTTTCAATTTCATGAGCTATTGCATTTTTAACACTTTACATTTATCAGCATCTAATGAAACACATTCAGTTTTTGTTGTTCTACTATTTACTACATAAATTTACAGCCAATTTAGGGTCTAATCTACAATATGCAAAGATTAGAAACAGTGCATATTCATGTATGTTATTTGGAGAGGGAAAATATTTCTCTCATTTTAATTTCCAATTAAATACTAATCTATAAAGTAAGCACTTTAAATTTTATGAGCTAGTATATTTTAAACATTTTGCAGTTTGTATAAATCTCATTAATGTGTACGATCTAGATAAAATAAAATTATTCTTTCAGTTCCTAGCAATGACAGATATTTTACAGTATCGACGCATTCCAGGGGAGAAAAAGCCACGTAATCTGGATGACGATGGTTATGAGGTACGTCAAGTTGTTCTCGTCGAAAATGGATCATCAACGTAACATGATATAAATTTTTATTGTGGTATTATCTATCGTACAGATAAACTAGGTTGAATGATATAGAAGACACAATGTTTTTGACATTGGCGCATGATCATCAAATCCCAAGAGCTTTGGTTTTTAAATTTAATAATTACCATAAGAAAACATTAAATTATAGTCAAATCTCTAGCATTTGGCAAAAGTGACAATATTTCAAGTGACCAACAGTTATCATATAATATTGAAAATATGTATTGTATATATTATTAATATATTAAAAATCATAAAAATCATTTTTGAAAATAATTTGCTCATTTTTAAGTAACATGAACAAGAAATTGTATCGAAAATATGAAATGAAAATAAAATGAAAATATACCCAAAATTTTTTATCAAAAAATTATAGAAACACTTTATTATTTGTATATCATTATCCAGTAAAAGAATCAGGGTACACATTTATAAAATTCAGTATTTTCTATGCTCAAGTATATTTGTATGTTACTGCAAAATGGGCAGTTTGATGGGATTTTTTTTTTTTTAATGATTTTTTTTTTTTTTTTTTTTTTTTTTTAATGTTTTTTTTTTTTTTTTTTTTTTTGTCAGGGGAAACAATACATCTTTAATAAGTATAATTAAACACAAACATGGTATATAAAAATGCTAAATGTAGTGACGACAAGCCAAATATAAAAACTCCTCAAAAATTGTGTTCCGGAGACTGGCCAAAACATGTTGGATTATTTTACTGCACCAAATGAACCTCTATACATTCTATACATCATGCTACTGTATGTTGTTACTTCCCCCATTTTCGATGTTAAAATAGAATTTTTTAACAACTAGGTGATGGTCTATGCCTAAGAAATTTCCGGAATCATAAATTTTGAATGGTGATTTCTCAAATACTGTTTTTTAACAGATTTACACAGTTTAACCCTGTGTTAATAATGAAAAATTTTTTTTTTTTGGGAAGAGTGACTAGTTTGTCTTGCCTTCCCTAATGTAGAGTGAGCTATCAAGTGTTAAATTAGAGTTTGCTGTAAGATTAATGTTTTACCCTAACTATAATTTGAAATGTTCGATACAGTAACTCTAAATGGGGCTTGCCATGCCAAAATAAGCATCAGTGACTAAAACAAGAAAAAAAAAATGAATTTTAATGTACTCATATTCTCCATATTATAAGATTTAAAATGATGGGTCATAATACTGGAATCAACTTTCTATTGTCAAATTTACAAGTAAAATTATTACAGCTTTTCTGTACTAAATTATACAATACTGCGACGCTGGTTTTTCGATGGCAAGCCTCAAGGTCTTATTAGAGACAACCTAGGTTTTTAGCCCATAGGCGCATACATGTATGTGGTATAGGATAACATAGTCAACACCACTTTAATATTATGTAATAAATTTTTAATTAATAATTAATTTTTGTAATCTACTTTTATGAAATCCAATAATATAACATTTTTTGTTTCTCATTAATGCAAATTTGATATTTTTCTTATTCTATTTATTACTTAATTCAATTTGTTTTTTTAGGTGTAAGTATGAATTGAAGTTTTAAATTGAAGTGCAATGTATTTTGTATATATATTTTTTTTAATCTATTGTAATACAAACATTTTTAGCTGCGTGCTACTGTTTTGTACATTTAAAAATAAAAAAAATGATGTTCTTTATAAAGCCAGGGGCGGATTTAGGGGGGACCGGCCCGGCCCCCCCCTTTTGGGAAGTAATAAAAAGAGAAAGAAAAAAAAAATGATAGCCCAGAATGCCTCAAATGTTATGTTCGGGCGTCTAGAACACAAAAATCTCGCGGGGGAATGCTCCCGGACCCCCTACGGCAGTGTTTTCTCAATAGGCCACCCCCCCCCCTTTTGGACATTTGGATCTGCCCCTGAAAGCACCTATAATAATTACTGCACTGAAGCTACAAGAAATACTTCAAGCGCCATTGTGCCTACAGTATTTTATCATGTCCTATGTGTGTTACAAGACATTGTAACTCCTCATGATTGATTTAGACTCCCTATATTTTAGTGATGCTATTACATGTACTGTATCTAATTTTCACAAATACTCTAAGAAATTATCAAATATTGGCTTTGAATTTAGGCATGAAGTGCTTTTGGTGAAAATATGGCATTCCCCAGGTATAAGCCCACCCCCAAAATCGGCCCAATTTTGTGTTCAAGGATAGTGGGCTTATACAAGGGAAGCTACAGTACTTTCATTGAAATAAACCAAAACAAATAGATATAAACCAGTGAAAATTTTATTCTTAATGTTTGATTGTTTATTGTATCGCCAGGATGAAGACGACCGAATGGACGAAGAGGTCCGGCGTCCCAAAGTGAATCGACCTTCCGAAGGCGAGGCCCACACATCACAGATGCGCCCTTTGTCAGGTCCTAACATTTCCTTTCCAACAGTGGTACCAGATAGCCAGAAAAAGGGCGCTGTTGCTGTAGATGTTGAATCCAAAGAGGTTGTTATGCTTGAAAACCAAAATTTCTCACCATGTGTTGAACGTAAATGCTAAGCTAATGGAAGCCTTACTTTTTTGTATATAAGTCTAAAATAAATCTTATTTTATTTGGTAACAGTTTTTTGTATAGTAACTCTCATCCCTTGCAGTTGGCCTGTAGCTTGTAGGGTGCAAAATGCTTACCTATCCCCTTCTTACCTCCCAAAATCATAAATTTTAAATATCTGATTTCTTAAATATTGTTCTTTAAACAGCTGTATGTTTAAACTGTATGTTTGTAACTTCTTAAGTAAATGTCAGATTTAAATTATTCTTTTACCATTTTATAGCTCTTATTTTGCTGTTTAACTCTGTATTAATAATCCATTTATGCGATGAGTGACTGGTTTGGCTTGTCTTTGCCACATATATGAACGTATTTTCTTAGCTCATATCCACTGTTTACCAGCATTCCAAAAGGGATATAACCGCTTTTTTCTTTTTTAATGTTTTTTTTTAATTGTTTTTGTAATTGTTATATTTTATCATTATAAAGTTATTATTATCTACTACTATTATTATATTATTATTTGCACAGTGGGTATTAATAGTAAATAACAACAGTAACATCAGAATTATAAAAAATACCATAATTATAACAAAAACAATAACAAAAGACAATAGAAATATTGTTATTATTATTACTATTATTATTGATACTTAATTGTGCAATTGTTAATAATTACATTTTTACAGTAATTAATAATTAATAATTGGATATTACAGTAGTAAAATAATACTGTAATTTGACCATTTAATTTAAAAGTTCATAAAAAAAAAACAATTTAAATATCACATTACTTTAAATATTATAAAATAATAATCATAAAACAACAATTTGTATGAAGTTTAAATTATACAAAAGACTGTGGAGTTTTAGTTTTTAACTGTAGTAATGATTTGTAGTTCAAAATTCAATTTGTATCGTGGTTATGCTACAATTCACATAAAAAATTAAAATGGTCGCCTGATGGTTAACAGCATTTAATTTCAAACCAAGTACTAAATAAGTGCACATTTAATTTGAAAATTTATGACAATCATGCAATAAACAAATGCAGGAATAGCACTTTAAGATTAATGGCATATTTATTCAGCAAACTTTTACCACTGCTGTTCAGTTAATAGTATGCAGGAAGGGATGTAAATCAATCTAAACATGAGTGTGTATGAGGGACCACTACAATTTGTATTAATGTTTGCGTTTGTGGGTGGGGGGAGGGGGGAGTTGTATGAAGTAGCTTTTAATATGCTACTGGCAGTGGCGGACTGTCAACTCTACCCTAGACCTCGAAATATGGGATTTTGCTATGTCTTTTCTACATTATTTATATTTAGCACTTTTGAGTTAATTCTTTAAAAAGTAAAGTAAATCCTTTCCGAGCCACTAGGACTCATAAGGCTAGAGCTTGTCCCCAGTTTCTGTAGCACGAAGCGGATAGGAGTGTAATACTGTCCCTGGGTGGGATTCTGGTCCAACGCAGGTTACTCCCAGCAATTTGCTGGTACCCATTGATACAGATGGGTAGACTGAAGCAATTTAGATAAAGTGCCTTGTTCAAGGACTCAAGCGAAATGCACAGCGAAGGATTGGAACTCAGACCTCAAATTTGAGAACCCAAACCATTCCCACTGTGCCAAACCCCTTTCACTAAATTCTTTAATGTAAACCTTATTATTTTGAATTGGTTGTCACAATTTTTGAAATTATTATGTTGTTATCGCAGTAATTATTATGTTTATCTTAAGTATATATTTGGCATCTAATGTAAATGCTCGAATAAGTGCCGCTCTGGAATAAGCACCGAACCAATCCTGATTATTTTCGCTAAGCGCCGCTCTCGAATAAGTGCCGCGGCACTTAAACAAGGGTATATATTACCCTGTGTGTAATGAAACACTTTGAGAAACAGTGTTTTAGATACATTGTATACAGTGTTAAAATGAATAAATAACACAATGAAGATACAAGCATTTCTTTATAAACATTTATTAACGATGACTAGGACCTATGATAGATCTACCGATACGGAAAGGATACGTGAGATAAGTAACATGGGAAAGGGTATACAAACACTATAAGTGCTGCTCTCGAATAGGCACCGCACTGAAGTCTCCAAAAATTTTATAATCGCCATGGTGCTTATTCGACCATTTACGGTACACGATGCGTTATGGTATAATGCAGAATGATGTGAATGCGTTGTGGAATGATGAACATGTAGTTACTATAAGCGCTGCCGTAGTCACGACCATGCCCATACGCAATTCAGCAAAATGAAGTTGCGAGTTATATGGTTATTATCCTACCTTTACCCTTTATGTGCATCTTAGTTGCTTAGAATTCATCCATGTTTGGTTTTCCTTTCTAGCCAATTGTCTTTCATTCAGCTAGTAATCAGGGACACAATGTACTGTAAGTCAGTAGGATAACTTGAAATGATGAAAATTGCTTTTCTTGAAAAACACTTGGTGGCTGGTGTTTCAAGTTCACTGAATTGAATAGTGGGATATGCACTTAATGTTGCCAGTATTTGAAAATTTGCCTTTCACCTCTGACCCCAACAGGTTAGTTTTTCCCCTAATCCTTTCTTTTGGGTAGGTGGGGGGGGGGGAGTTTGCCATATGATCTGCTACTATGATAATTCAAAGCATTATTATCATGTTATTGTAAAGTATTATGTATGTTTTATGTGTTTTTGTAACATTTTTTTTATGTTGTATTAAATTCCATTAGAAGTACTGTACAAAGTTTTGGTAGAATTTACATTTAATGTACCAGGAATTCACCAGGAATTCTTGTAAGAATATCAATTATTAATTATGATGATTTATATTTATTAACTGTAAAACTAATTTGTGTATGTTATATAATTTGAATCACACCTATGATGAGATGTGCAATCAGCTTATAGTTTTACAATACATTGTAAATAATATATTTATGTAATTGTTTTATGACAAAATCTGGTAATTGTCTTACCTAAATATGATGTTACCTGGTGCAATAACCGGATATTGCACTGGAAATTAGTTTAGTAAACCTTGAACAGAGTACACTAAAAGAATGTATCATTTTTATGCTAGAATTTGAAAAAAACAAAAAAACATGTTGAAGTACATAACTTGTTAATGACTGTAATTGAATATCAAATTGTTTAAATCTGCTTGTGAGCATGCTCAGAACACTTCGATGGAGATTTGTGCATATATCTGTGTTGTGACTGAGACTTTGAATACAGCTTAAATCCTATATCCACATTAAGGAAGCAGTTTAAGACGTGGTCCGACAAGACATCTGTTGTATGCCAGAACAACCATTATCTTGATATAAATAGTGATACATTAAGAGAAACAATTATCTGGCATTGTAAAGATTTTAACTAACCAACACTTTTTTTCCAAACTGATATATAGTCTGTCAAACCTAGAAAATTTGCATTCATAGAGGAAGCAGTGTTATATACCATGAACTGCCACACTATCAGATTTTGTTACTTCCCCCAAAAATACGAGTGATATGACATATCATGTATATGGATGTGTGACATCATTATTCCCATGGGTAAATCACAAATTTGTCAACGAACATAGTGTCGATAAAGCTTTTAAGATTGTTTTAAAGATATACTGTTTGTAAAAAATCTAGATAATCTCTAAAAAAATAAAATTTAACATTGATTTACTCAAGGATCAAGTTAGATGTGAATAACACAATTAAGTATTTTGAAGATTACTGAACTTTAACCTCAGAAATCCGTAAATTGATTTCAAGATAATTTAAGGATACAGGCGAAGAAAATATAACGTTAAAACAAAGAATCGTAAATGTTGTATACAGCTCTACAGACTAACAAGAATTTGTTAAGCTCTGTGCTATACATGTCATTTACTCTTAATTTATTTAGAATAATTTACAATGCCATTTTAATATGAAATTATATTGTTTAATTTTCAATTTATCTTAGCTCAGTGCTTACAGTATCTATAAGTTGTACAATATGCAATGATATAACTAATAGATTGTTTTATTTTTAGGTGTTTGATATTTTTGCTGATGGTATTCCCATATAGTATTTTTGTGGCATCATACCTGTCAACATTTTAAAAATGTATGCATTTCGGATCTAACAAAAATTCCCCTTTTCCAATCCCACCAACGTTTAGCTTCAGTGGCTGCTTAGTTGAAAAAGTGGCCCAAACTGTGTTTTTTTTTACTGTGAGAAGCTTTTGCATAAAGCTGTATTATTGGTTGCGAAAACAATAGAAAAAAAATAATGAATATGTTCGCTGTCATGTGGTATAACTAAGTTTGCTGTTACAAGTTTTGGTAGGTGCCACTAAGAATAACTTTTTACAGTTGCACAAAGTAAGCCACAACAAACATTTCAAATTAATTTTTAGACAAGATGTACCCTTCCATTAAAGATGCAAAATACCAAAAAAATAATTATAAAGATGTTTTTGAAGTGACATAAAAATTTTGAAGTGACATAAAAATAATCAACTTGAACATAGAAATGAGTGTATTTAAAAATACACTCATTTAAAATAATACCCATAATTTCAGTGATGTGTTGTTATTTTTATTATCAGTATTCTGTATAGAATCAGAGTACACATTTTATAATCCAATTGAAGTTTTTGACTTGGCAATGCCACCCTTGTCATAAAATACAATGCAAAAGAAAATTGTATAGCTTCTAGGGTTTTCATCCTTGGTGTATGTGCAACATCTTTATGATGAGTTCATGGCAGTAAACATGTTAACAATGAAGTAGCCTGCAACTTAAGAGTGGCAGGATGTTGGATTGACATACACCATCTGATATCATCAAATATTAATAAATTGGATTCTAAAAATATTTTTCAGTGTTTTTTGATTTACAATTGTATGGCTCCTCCCGTACAAGAAAAAAAGAGTTGCACAAGTAGAACAGGAATAATTTAAGAGAATTTTTATTATTGCTAACTATATTTGTTAACTATATATGTGTGTCAGATGCTGATTTTAATTAATATCAAACTGATATTGAGAACTATCACATTGTTTGTTGTTGTTGATCAGTGAGATAATATTAAATATCAAATTGATATTGAATACTGTCTCACTGATTACTGTTGTTAATCAGTGAGATGATATTTAATATCAAACTGATATTGAATACTGTCTCACTAATTACTGTTGTTAGTCAGTGAGATGGTATTTAATATCAAACTGATATTGAGAACTATTACATTGTTTGCTGTTGTTAATCAGTGAGATAAAATTAAATATCAAATTGATACTGATTACTGTCTCACTGATTACTGTTGTTAATCAGTGAGATGATATTTAATATCAAACTGATATTGAATACTGTCTCACTAATTACTGTTGTTAATCAGTGAGATGGTATTTAATATGAAACTGATATTGAATACTGTCTCACTAATTACAGTTGTTAATCAGTGAGATGGTATTTAATATCAAACTGATATCGAGAACTACCACATTGTTTGCTGTTGTTAACCAGCGAGATAATATTAAATATCAGATTGATACTAAATACTGTCTCACTGATTACTGTTGTTTATCAGTGAGATGGTATTTAATATCAAACTGATATTGAATACTGTCTCACTAATTATTATTGTTAATCAGTGAGATGGTATTTAATACCAAACTGAATATTGAAAACTGTCACTTTGATTGATGTAGTTAATCACTATAATATTAAATATCAAACAGTCAAAGTCAAAGGGGAAATCTCTCGTAGAGGTCGCAGTCCCCTTTATCGCTGTGCATGTCATGAATTACACAGCGACGTTTTAAGTGTTGGGCCTAGAAATTACAACGCTACAGGGCAAAAAAAGTATCATTTAACGTGTTAGTACTTTTTTTTCCATGGGAATTTATGAATTACCACTTAAATCTATGTCATAGGAGGGATGGTTTTTATCCGATTTTTAACTAATGAGATGCCTAGAATCTACATATGCAGTATATAAAGCAAAATTTAGCCTGAGGTGATCTTGAGTCTGTACTATGTCCCGAGACGAATGCCCGGTTTTAACTAATCATAATAATGCTTGAAATCTATGTAGTCTGTATTTCATTTTAAACCGATATTCAATCTCATTGAATTAGTAATCAAATGCATATTTATTTAAAATGTTATTAATTTATGAGTGATTGATTTAATCCAGTCATTGTATAAATTGCTAACATTGTAAATTTTAATATTTTTTTTTACCTGATTCATAAATGTTGTATAATTATAATTTTAAATTAAGCTGAAAGTGCAATAGTATTAGATTAAACTACAAAATATCCTAACCATGGTAATTGTATTTGATATCAGAGCACATATCATGCAGTTGTATGTATTTATTATGATTTGTTATGAATTGAATGTTAATAATCATTAAATATCAAACAAACATGTTACCTTCATTTTTGTAATTAATGTGTTGTTTTTCTCAAGTTACTGTAGTGTAACTACACACTTCTTTAAACAGGAAAAAAATGCTTTTAATTGTTTGTTAGAAATTCTTAATCTATTTTAAACATTCCTTTTTGTTACCCTGTATTTAGCCCTTTTTAACTACCGGTACTACAATATTAGGATTTCCTGAATTTTTTCAATTATTTTTTTTTAATTATGTGTAATTACTATGGTTTTATTTTTCAAGAGGATGGCCTTCTCTCTCCTTCAGAAATTGTAAAACCCCACATACAGGATAACTTTGCCCATCCTCCCTCCTTGAGCATTTCTGGGCAATCGCGAGAATTGCCAAAAAAATGTATAAACGATGGGGACACTGGTGGCTTCTGACATTTGGAGACGGGTTTCCAACAAGTCTGGCAATTGTGTTAGAACCTAGGGACTGCATAGAGATTCACGTCTAGATCTAGAAGAAAAACTAGTTTTGAAAGGCATATTCCTCCACCCACTAGTGCCGCCAAATGGATGAAGATGTGAGTGTTGGGTTCAAATGATGTAGAATGTGATTGATGGGTTTAAAGACAGGGTTTGTTGAGGTGATGCCTGTCAAAACTTTTTTTTTAGTTTTCTTTGTCTCATGTGCTTCCTTCTCCCCCCTTATTATTTTGCTTACTGTATTATTACTGTGTTGTTATTATATTATTCTTATTAATTTCTTAGTTTATCTATTTTTGAATCTATCTATATTTCTGTTACTTGTTTGTAATGAGAGTCCCTAATGATCAGCTCCGGCTGGATAGACAACCCACATAAAAAAGATTGTGGAAATAAATATAATAAAAAAATAAAATCCATGCAAAATAATTTAAATGCATCTAGTAGAATGTGGCTGTTAATTTTTTTTCCAAAAACTAAGAACAGGTAATAGAAAATATTGTTGTGTGTCCCTTTAATCCAGTTTTAAATAACATTACAGACACGTGATCTTGTGTTTACGCAGTTGGAATTTCCAACCAGTTCTTCGAAAGAAGCTGGCTGGCCGAGGGTGTATTGTAGGCAACCATAAAGCTTGTATTGGGTAAGATCTACGTTACGATAATACCATAATTTGCTCATTTGGTGTGTAAGTTGTAGGGCGTATAAAGCGTGATAATGTATAACCATGGAGGTATTATAGTAAACTATAATATCCTGGTAAAACATTTAAAAGATTACAATTGCAAGGGAATTCGTCATAAGTACTTCCTGGTAATTTAGAAAAGACCTACGTTCAGTAGTCCAGTAGCTGTATTGTTTCCATTCTCTGAAAGATTTCTCTGTTGTTGTGTTTTTCATTTACATTTGCTTATTAATACTGTTAACATGCGCCGCTAAACGCATCCATGCGCGCTGCCCGCCATTATTTACTTCAAGCTTGGAGGAATTAGTTTATGCTTCAAGTAAATACTTGGGTGTGGCTAGTTGGTTGAAAATTCCTCACTTGCGCAAGGCAAAGTGCCCTTGCAGTGGAAATTGGCCAATGTGATCCCCCTTCCGAAACAGACACCCCCTTCTATTAACAAATTAAGGCCAATTTCCCTGACCTCTACCTTGGCTAAAATTGCTGAGAAAAGAGTGTCAAGGTTTGTGATTAATACAATTAACCCTTTTATTAATCAACAACAATATGGAAACCAAAAAGGAGTGTCCACGACCCACTGCTTGATAGATGTTTATAACTTTTTAATGTCAAATTGTGAGAAACGAGGTTCAATATGCACTCTTGTTCTTACAGACTTTACCAAAGCTTTCGATTTGATCGATGACCGAATAGCTTTTAACTGTTTATATAACTTTGGTATCTCTCCATCTATCTTGCAGTGGGTCGTTGACTTTCTTTCAAATCGCAAACAGATGTGCAAGTATAAAAACTGTTACTCTGATTGGGAAGTTTTAACTGGAGGTGTCCCGCAAGGGACTATCCTAGCACCAATAATTTTTCTTTGCATTATTAATTCTGCCCTTAATGATGTTCTTATTGATGGGGATGTTCATATCTGGAAATATGTTGATGACCTGACACTTGGAGAGAGTAGGTTGGTGGAGGGTCAAAGTTCCCTTCAAGCTAAACTTGACTCACTTTTTGTCTGGTCACATACCAACAAACTCAAACTGAACCCCTCCAAGTGTCAGGTTATGCAAGTCTACTTTGGCCGCAATGATGTTCCAGATATAAACATCCACTTATCCGATAACCGTTTAACGGTTGCTAATAACGTCAAACTACTTGGAGTAGTTCTAAGCAGTGACCTAAAATGGGGAAATCATGTTGACCTAATGGTCAAAAAGGCTAATAGGAAACTATTCATGTTAAGAAAATTAAAAGATGCTGGTTTCAATAATAATGAGTTTTTAACAGTCTACATGGGATACATACGGCCCACCCTAGAATATGCAGCTCCTCTGTGGTCTGGGGGACAGTTTACCAGGAGACTTCTTTGGAAACAATTATGTTGACTATCAGGATGCTCTCGAAAAACTTGGGCTGGAATCACTCGCACAACGTAGGATTTTATTATGCAAAAAGTTTGCTAAAAAAATTAGCAACGATAAAAGATTTAGTCACTGGTTCCCAAAATCGAAAAATATTTCATCAATGAAACTTCGGAAACATAGAAATTATGAAATGCTTTCCTGAGAACTGAACGTTTTAAAAATATCCCCATCCCTTATCTAATGACATTAATTGAAGAATAAATTTAATTTTGCAATTGTATTTAACTTTGTGAAATTTTGATGGTTTGGGTTCATTTTTTGTATTGTCTTTAAAATTGCCCCATCACTTATCTAATGAAATTAATTGAAAAATTCAAATTGTGCAATTTTAACGTAGTGAACTTATACCGATGGTTTGGGTTTGCTTTTGTATTGTTTTAATGTGATGTTTTTGCTGTATCCCGTTCTTGTTTTCCTTTTGTACAAAATACACCAATTTAGCTTTTGGCTACTAATGTATTTTTTTATGAAGGAGTTTTTTTTCTAATAAAGATACCGATTATATAAGACAAAACCGAAAAACGCCAAAAAAGAAAATACCAAAAACAAAACAAAAAATCAATACTCTGTATTTATTTTTCAAAATCCAGTGTAGGCCTACACAATTTTCTCATTTTAGACCACCTTGCGACCCGAAAATTTGGGGTGAATGCTGGTTGCATTATGTTTTTTCCCCACACAGTTAAGGCAAACATCATGTAGATCACCAAATATATATAGCCCTATGCTTTTTTATTGTTAAGGATAGGTCTAATTTTTTACTGCAATATGCATAATACTGTATATGAATTAAATATTATTTTAAAAATATAATTGATGTTAAAATAATAAAATCATCCAAACGAATATGGAATTATCAAAGTGTGGATCATCTAAGATTCTTCCAGCGGCTGGGCTCCACTTTGTCTGGGCTGTAATCCCATATGGTACACGGTTGTTTCATTGCATACATAATCGCGACATTTAAAGCCTGGTTCTCACGACGCCCTAGTATTCGGATCGGGAGCTAACCGTTAGCGCTAACCGTTAGCACCTGTGTGAGAACGACCGATCGGTTAGCGGTATCCGGACACTGCTAACGGTTAGCAAGCGCTATCGGTTAGCAAATTGAGCGCGTTTCTATCAACAACCAATCACACATACGCGTTTACAATTCCCAGTTTCTTATGGCCAGTGATTAGATCATCATATACTTGGTATTTGGATCGTGATTTTTCTCTATGGACGCACGGCAGGATCCGGATCCTGCTAACCGTTAGCTGCCGTGTGAGAACATAGGCAACGTGTTTAGAACAAGCTTTTTATTACAATAGGACGCGCGCACGTTCCATGCAGCTACTTCATGAACTTCTTTAGGATAGTCTATAGCAACAATGGCCGCAAAATTTTGTGAAACTATGTATTCGAGTTTATAGAAATAAACTAATTTAATAATACAATTTATCAAGTATACGTTGGTATTTTATAGGAATAGGCTCTATAGATGCTGTATTCACTGACGAACACTGATGAACTGGCTGTAAAGATAGCCAAAATATGCTTCCGACCCGCACGAGTTCTCATTATTTTCCATATATAGTTTTCCCGTTTCTATTTCATCCTCTTCGCAGCCGCTGTTTAGTTCCTAAGACGATTTTTTGATAATCATATCCTCTTCGCAGCCGCTATTTGGTTCCTGAGACGTCCTCGCAGCCGCTATTTGGTTCCTGAGACTCTATTTGGTACAGCGCATGCTCGACATGGCTCGATAACGTCACTTACTCAATCGCATGTTCACTGTGTTTTTATAGATAATCAAAGATACTAGAAATACTGTACAAGGTAGAGCACTCGCATAGTAAAAATGAGGCGGAAATTGGACCATACGATTCTGCGCTATATTGTTGTTTTCTATACCGGATCCGTGGGCTTACTGTAATTGTGTGTTTTATTTGGATAATAGCAACGATTTCTACCTCCGCCAAGGAGGTTATGTATTCACCGTTGTCACTGTCTGGGTAAAATTGTACTAATTGTACAATTGTGTTCAATTTTTAATTGAGAATTGACAATTAAACTTGGTAACGAAAGTTTGGTAGAAGTTTTTTAGATCCAGCCTTACTGGGCGCCCCATTGTTTGTATTCCCACCATGCATTTCGGTGAAACACACTTTTTTTCTGCATAGAACTCTATCTTGTGTTCTAGTATCTTTGAGGTAATTCATGGACGTTATTTGGTAACTGTGCATGCGCATTGCTTAGTTCAGAATTCCAAATTTTTCGTAGTAAAATCTACCGCTACCATACAGTTTCGCAATGACTATTTCCTCTTGATCGTTACAGCCTAAATGTGCGGCGCGAAAACACAGTATAATATTGAATTTCGGTAGGATAGGCCTAGATATGACATTTGCTGGAGCAAAACTAACTCTGAAGTATAAACGTTTAGAAATGCTCACGGACAAATTACGAATACCTTGGGACACAGTTTTTAACTTACAATTTTACAATTAAACATTTTAATGAGAAAAAAAAATCCCTGTCAATTAACAGACAGTGAGCGTATTTGCTGTATTCTTTTGCATGATTCATTGGCTAATAACATTTAAGAACCGTCTGTAAGTCAGTGACATCTATACTTTCATCTGATTTAATCGTTTTATTAAAGCTATTCATTTTTTTTAATTGGGTAGACAGCCAATAAACGGTATCGTACGTCATATCATGTGTATAGAATGTCGTCGGATTTGGTAAAATTAATGTTTAAATATATCTGCTTGCTATATAAATATATGTCTATTACTTTTATTCATATTACTGTATATATAAACGAAATGTTTGTGAGAAATCAACATTAAAACAATACATGGAATTGTCTTAATACCTGTGTCCGAGCTTTTCTAAACGTTAATATCCTTCAGAATCAGTAGTACTAAACAGTATTATGCAAATATAAATCAGGGGGTTTGGGTTCAAATTTAAGGGGTGGGGGTAAAAATGTTTTTTTCCCGGGAAATGTTGATTTACATGGCGGGAAATGAGCTTTCCAAACTTCTGAAATGTCTTTTAATGACTTTTAAGTTCTTCTGAATACAAGGTTTTCCCCCTTTCAACGAGGGGGTCCGAGTTTCTCCCGGGAAAATTTCGATTCCTAGATGGCGGGAAATAAAATTCCCGATTTATCAAATGTCTTTTAATGAATGTTAAGTTCTTCAAAATTAAAGGTATTCCTCTCTTGAAAACGGCCAGGCATAGCCTACGTATTCTTTTTTCCATTATTAGATAAATCCCAAAAACGAAGGGGGTCCGGGGTTATCCCCCTTGGAAAATTGTGATTCCTAGATTTTCCTCTTGAAAACGATGCCATGAATCAATGAACCCCAAAGAGAAAGGGGGTTGGGGTTCTTCCCGGGAAATTGTTGATTTTTAATATGGCTCACCCATATTTTCTACTGGGGGACCTGCCCCACCCCCTACTTTTGTGACTGTTCCCAGACCAGTGACAAACATTTTACGAACGCTGCAATGTCATTATTATTATTATTATTAGGCCTATTATTATTA